AGTGTGAGGCTCCTAAGCCAGACTAACTCTGAAAGGAAAAGGGAGGTGGTTCCTTCTGAGGAGATAGAGTGAGAAGGAGCCTCCTCAAGGCCAGGCCTAGGGAATTTCCTCAGAAAAGTCTCTTGAGAGTGACTGGCTTCCCACACTGGGGCAGGAGACAGGGAAGAAAGGGAAAAAAGGGGTTCCAGAGCAGTCTCTTCAGAAAATCCTGTCAGAGACTTTTGTTCTCCGTTGTGTGGCTGACACAGAAAGCTTGAGGGGAAAAAGAGAAAAGGGCGGTAGTCTAGTCTCCTCAGAAAAATATTTTAGGGGGCAGAAGACAGGAAACAGTAATGAGAGGGAAAGAACCTCAATCCAGTCCCCTCAAAAATGCTGTTGGAACACTTATTTTACATTTAAGGGCAAAAAACAACAGTCTGGAAGGAAGGGGGCAAAAGGGCCTAATCTAGTCTCCTCAGAAAAGGTTGAAGCGGGAGACAGGGAAGAAAGTATGGTGGGTGGGAAGTCTCAATCTCCTCAGAAAAGATTGTGGGGGGCATTTGCTCCTTATCCTGGGGAAGGAAAGCAAGATGGTGGGGAAGATCCCTCAGAAAATATGATTGGAAGAAAGTCCTTGATTCCTCAGAAAAAGACTTTAGGGGTGTGTGTGAGGGGGAATTTGTTGCTCAGCTTCTGGGCGGGAAACAGGAAGAGAAAAGGGGTCTTGGTTCAATCTCCTTAGAAAAGACTACTGAGGAACACTTGCCCTCCATTTTGAGGTAGAAGATAGGGAAGTGGGGGAGGGCAGCTAGTTTTGTCTCCTCAGAAAAGATTTGGGGGCAAGCAGATGGAGAAGGGGGGAGTGAGGGCCATAATTTAATCTCAGAAAATATTAAGGGGGTAGAGAGAAGGTCCCACCTAGAGGCAGAAGACGCAGGGAGGAGAGGAAAATAAGACCTTAATCCATTCTCCTCAGAAAAGACTGGAGGAATATTTGTCCTCCATTTTAAGGCAGAAGAGAGGAGGTAAGGAAGAGGGGGGAGGAGAGTCCTCGTTTTCTCAGGGAAGAAAGGTGAGGCGGTAAGTTCTCAGTCCATTCTTCTCAGAAAAGGTGGTTGGGGGCATATTTGCTCTCCATTTTTAAGCAGATGACAGGAATCTGTATGCCAGGGGTGGAGGGGGAGGGCTAGGAACAAGTATTATCTCCTCATAAAAGGTTCTTTGGGACATTTGCTTCTCATCTTGGGGCAGGAAACAAGTATAGAATGGGGAAAAATTCCAGTTCAGTCTCTCAGAAAACACTATTGGGAGAGAAAAGATCCTAGTCTCCTCAGAAAAATTCTGTTGAGGGGGTGTGGATTTGCTCTCCATTCTGGGGCAAGAAAATATGAGAGGTTCCTAGTCTAGTCTCCTCAGAAAAATAATGATGAGGAGCATTTGTTCTCCATCTTGAGGCATATGACTAGAAGTAGGGAAGCAATTGGGGGGATCTGTGTCTAATCTTCTCAGAAAATACAGTTGGGTGGCACAGAGACATAGGCTGGGCAGCAGTGAATGAAGGAAAGAAAAAGTGTCAGTCTGGTCTCCTGAAAAGGCTTCTGGGTCATTAGCTCACCATCTTGGGGCAGGAGGCAAGGAGAGCCGGTGGGCAGAAGAAGACATTCAGCTCAGTCTCTGCAGAAAATACTACTGAGTATTTACTCCACATTTTGAGGAAGAAGAAAGGAAGCTGGGGGGAATCCTAATCTAGTCTCCTCACAAAAGACTGGTAGCATCTGCTCTCTTAGAAACAGAGGACAACAAGCTGTCAGGAGAAGAAAAAATGAGTCTGAACCTGGTCTTCACAGAAAAAGACTGTTAGAACATTTGCTTCCAGCTTGGAGCAGATGACAGGAACTAAGGGGGAGAAGGTCCTGTTTTCTTCACAACAAAAGATTGTTGGGGGGGGCATCATTCTGTAACCCAAGTGCAGGAGACAGGGAAGATGAGGAGGAAAAAAGGGTTTTTAGCCCAGTCACCTCAGAAAAGACTTGAGCATTTGCTTGACATTTTGAGGCAAAAGAGAGAAAGCAGAGAGGTGGGGGTGGGTGGAAGGGTTCTATTCCTGTCTCCTCAGCAAAGGCTGTTGGTGATATTTGCTCCCCATTTGTGGGGTGGTGGGGTGGGCAGAAGGGTCCTAATATCATTAGGAGGTACCCTGGGGCAGGAGAAGGGGGGGGTCAAAAAGAAAAATCTTGGCCTAGTCTCCTCAGAAAATACTGTTGAGGAACATTTATTTTCCATTCTGAGGTAGAACATAAAAAGGCAGGGAGTCAATGGGGAGAAGGATCCGAGTTTATCTGGTTCCCTCAGAAAATACTGTTGGGTGGAATTTACCTCCTCGAGACAGGGGACAGGAAGAAGTGAGGAGGGGGAAAAGGGTCTCAGTTCAATCTCCTCCAAAAAGGTTATTGGGAGGAATTTCTTCTCCTAGAGACAGACAACAGCAAGCACTGAGGAGGAGGAGGAGGAAAGAGTCTCAGTCCAGTTTCCTCAGAAAAGGCAGTGGAGGGAGACATTTTCCTTCTAGCTTAGAGTAGGAGACAGCAGGCAAGAAAGAAGGAAGGGCGGGGATGAGTTTCGTCTCCTCAGAAAAGGCTGTGGAGGGAGACATTTGCTCCCAATCTCGGAGCACAAGACAAGAATTGTGGGGGGGGGTGGCGGGGAAAGGGTTCCAGTCTTCGCAGAAGGGGGGTGGTGGGTGTGGGGGTGTGTGTGTGTGTGTGTGTGTGTGTGTATGTGTGTGTGGTGGGGGGGGTTGTTTTTCATCTTAGGGTAGGAGGCAGGAAGAAGAGGGAGGAGGATCCCCAGTTCAGTCTCCTCAGAAAATCCTGGGGAGGGGAGAGAGAAGAGGAAGGGGAAAAAAGAAGGGTCTTTCCCCGGTTTCCTCAGAAAAGACTGAGTAAATATTTGCTTTCCTTGCATGGTGGGGAGGAAGAGAATGGATCCTCCTTTAGTCTCCTCAGAAATATGGTTGGGGGGTATTTGCTCTGCTAGAGGCAGGGGACAGCAAGGACTGAGGAAGGAAGGAACAAAGCGCTTATTAAGTGCTATGTGTCAGGTAACATATTGAGCGCTTTCTGTATTTTATCACATTTGATTCTCACAACAGCCCTGGCAGGTAAATGTTATTATTATCTCCATTTTACAGATGAGGAAACTGAAGTAGGCAGAGGTGAAGTGACTTGCCCAGAGTCACATGGAGCTTTGAAGTGTCTGAGGCTAGATTGGAACTCAGGTCTTCCTGACTGTGGGCTGAGGGGCTATCTATCTACTGTGCCACCAGCTGCCAAGGGGAAAAAGGGTCCGAGTTCAGTCACCTTCAGAAGAGGCAGTTGGGAGGGGGATACTTGTTCCCCACCCAAGGGCAGGAGACAGAATTAATGGGAGAAAAGGGCCTCTGTTATGGTTTTCTCAGAGAAGACTGAGATTTGCTCTCCATTTGGAGGCAGATGATTAGAAGCAGGGAGGGGGCAGATAGGAATAGATCCTAATCTTGTCTCTTCAGAAAAGGCCATTGGGGGCATTTGTTCACCATGTTGGGACAAGAAAGAAAGGAGGGCATGTCTCCAGCCCTCTCAGAAAAGAAGGGAAGGGGAGATTTGCTCCTCATCAGGGAACATGGGCTTAGGGAGAAGGGCCCTAGTTCATTCTTCTCAAAAAATATGGGGGAGGGAAAGAAGATCCTAGTCTCCTCAAAAAAGATGGTTGAGGGGTATTTATTCCCCATTCTGGGGTAGGAGACAGAAAGGAGTGGAAAAATGGGGTCCCTGTATAGTTTTCTCAGAAAAGACTATTGAAGTATATTGGTCCTCCATTTTGTGACAAGACAGGCAGCACAGAGGCCGTTGGGCTGGGGCTGGGGCTGGGGCTGGGGGAGGGTTTTGCTCTGGTCTCTTCAGGAAAAAACAAAACCTTGGGGATCTTTGTTCCTAATTTTGGGGTAGGAGATAGGTATGAGAGAAAGAGTTTTCAGAAAAGTTCTTGGGGGAGCACTTGCTTCCCCCTTTGGGGCAGGAGGCAGGAAAGAGGGGAAAAGAAGGGTCCTAGTTAGGTTTCCTTACAAAAGACACTTGAGGCACATTTGTTTCTGAGTCTGGGGCAGGAGACAGAAGACAAGGATGGTCCTAGTCCTGTTTTCTAAGGAAAGGCTGTTGGGGGTGAGGGAGAGAATATTTATTCCCACTCTGGGGCAGGAGACAGGGAGGAGGGGGCCAAAACAAGAGGCCCTGTCTAGTCTTCTGAGAAAAAGCTATTGGGGGGAGGTGTGGTATTTATCCCCCATTCTGGAGCAGGAGGTAGAGGTGGGCCTCTGTCTAGTCTCCTCAAAGACATGTTTTTGGATCCCCAGTCCCCTCAGCTGAGGTTAAGATAGTGTTTGGGGTGGGGGGCTATATCTTAACTAGAAAAAATATTTCTTTCTGAACATATCTTTAGACAAAGGAACACCTTGGCTAAGGCGGTTTCCTGTGCCAGGCTGAAGTGGCCAGGATGAACCCTGTCCAATCCAGTTTAAGCCATGGGAAAGGGGTGACTCTGGGCCTAGGTCTAGGCTTGCTTGTAGCTCCAGAATTCTTCCCTGTAACTAGGGACTTGAAGAGGAGTGGGGTGGGGCAGGGAAAGGAGCAGGCCCCAAAGGGATAAAATGGTTTGTTATGACCAGGAAGGATGTCTCATTTCTCTCCTTTCTCTGTCTGGTGAAAACCTCTGGGGAGCCAAAGGTCCATATATGTCTCTTCTGTATTCTCCATCAGGTAAGTTCTGATTGTTCCAGAACATGAACTGGACACAGCTCCTCCTTCTTCCTGGGTGATTTTGGGGAGAGCCTAGTGGGTGCTCCAATCCCATTTCAGCAACCCTTTTGCTCGGTGGATTGTGCTCAGAGCGCAAAATGGCTTCCTGACTCTTCTTCTCTTGCCCCGATCTTCACATGATGTAGGAAGGTGATGGTAAAGATTTCCTTATATCCTCCCTCTTCTCAGGAGAAACTACGTTAACTTCAGCCTCATCTATAGGCTCATCTTGCGACTGGGGAGATCTGAATTTCACAGACACCGTCAATCAGAGTGTGCAAGTCTCTAGCCGTCTGAAGGTGGCCGGAGGGGTCAGTAGTGAGGCCAGGGAAATGTCGGACAATCTGCCTCTGTCTTTCTACATGAGTATTTTTGATCGCCTCCTGTTAGGAGGTAAGAGTACGGAAAATCCCCCAGCTGTGTGTGTGTGTGTGTGTGTGTGGGCTGGGGGGGAGTACCATGAGGAATGCTCATGGCTTTCCCATCAGATCAGGGGCTGGGAAGGTAAAGGAGTAGGCCCTCTGTTCTCCTGCCAGTTCTGCCAAAGCACAGGTGCCCAGTTCTAAGCAGCTAAGATGCCTGGACCCAGCACCTTCCATCTCAGCGTGTCTGTCAGGAGCTTGAAGGCAAAGGCCGCGTATGAGAGAGAGCCTGAGGCAGGCAGCCTCGGGAAGCTTTGAGCGAGCACTGCTCTCAGCAATGTGCCATCTGGCCCCTGGGTGGCAGTGTTGGCTTTCAGTGCCCTCTCTGCTAGCTCCCTGAGCTGTAATGAGATCCCCAGTGGCCAGACAGAGTCGTGCCTCTGCTCCCCTCCCCACCCTCCCCCGCGGCCTTGGAGCTAGATGGAGAGACTCTGGGGTGGGGGGGACGGGGGCGGAAGGGAGGGTTGGAAAGGGGGAGTTGAGGAAGGTGCTGCTTAGACTAGGCCTGCTCGCTCATCCCACAGCATGAAGTACTAGGGATTCAGGGGTGCTGCTACTGCTCCCCATGTCATCACTGGGTATTTGGCCTGCGGCATCTGCTGAGCAGCTGCACTGAGCCAACAGAGTGGCTGTGGGTGGGGTGGACAGCATTGCCGGGGTGTCATGGCCTCTCTCCCGGGCTCCAGCAGCTTATTCCATTAAAAAGCTCACTTGAGTGAATGCAGAGGAAGACGATCTCTGGCTGGGACAATCAGAGAAGACATGATGGAGGCTGGAGAACTGGGCCTGGGCCTTGGTCCCTGGCTTGGGGCTGGGACAGCATTGCCAGGTTTCCTGGGCAGCCATTTTGTGGAGCTTGGCAGCTGCTGTCTCTCATGGCCTCCAGGCCGAGATAGTCTAATAACATTAAGCAGTAACCGTAGCCACCATCTAGACAGTGCTTTGTCGTTATAAAGCACTTTTCAATTTCTCTTACTTGATCTTATGATAATCCTAGCAGATCAGCTGGTGGGGTTTGTTTTCTTTATTTTTAAGGAACTGTAGTTTGGTAGGTGCTGGGAACTCCTGGAATGTTAACTCCATCCCCTAATGTAGAATAGCACTTGGCTATCACTTAGTCTGAGAAGGGTACCTGAGACACTTAGTGGTTAAATGACTTCCCCAGGGTCACTTAGCTATAAGACCTGATTTAGTTAGGACAGCTGGTATACAGCAGGAGCAGGATTTCCAATCTAGTTCTGCCTCACTCTAGGCCTCCTTTCTTTCAGCCATGCCATTCTTGCATCTCTACAGGTAAGTGCTGGACACAGTATTATCTTAATTTTACAAAAAAAATAAGCAAAGCAAAAATAGCACTCGAGGCTAAGAGAGGTAAATTCACTTGTGGAAGGTCACATGGCTAGTTAAGTGCCAGAGCCCTGACTAAAATCCAAGTCTTCTTAGTCAAAATCCAGTTGCCCCAGGCTCTGTATCCTGTCCTGTTATGTCAGGAGGTTAGAGATTTCCATTTCAAAGGTGTCATGTTTCTCTGGACCTCTCCCTGTTGAAATATAACTTCCCATCTGAACCTTCTTCATCTGAGGCCTCAGTTTGTCTGCCAGTCCTTAGGCTGTGCCTGGCCCAGTCTTTGACTCTGAGCTCCCATATCATTCCAATTTAGCTGATGCAGGGTGGAGGTGTCAAATCAAGGCACTGAATGAATGAATGAATGAATGAATGAATCCAAAAGCATTTGTAAGCACTTACTAGGTGCCAAGCTCTGTGCTATGTGTCAGGGAGCCCAACAGACCAAGACAAGCCCTGTTCTCAAGGATCCCATTCTCTAACTTGGGAAATAGGGTACATAGAAAGGCCCGCAAAGCTTCAGGGTTCTGGGGAGGGCCAGATGGCATGACCCAGGCAGGGGTCTTTAGGTAAAGTCGGTGGGCCAGATGGCCACAGGGGTTTGTAGGGAATAGAGACTGGTGGTCTTCCACCTCACTAAAAGTAAAAGAGTTTGTGACTCTCAACTCATCCAAGCCATGTGAGCAGTGAGATGTGTTCTGAGTGGCCCTGGTCAGGGCAAGGGTTGATTGCAAAGGCTAGTAAGTCACTCCCAGATCTGAGTGGAAAGAACTCAGCTAGAATTCTGAGATTCTGTTCAGAGTGGGAGATGAGCCTAGGCATGGGCAGGAGAACACCGACAGATTAGTTTTGTGCCAGGTACTAGCGAGACATAGTGATTACTCTGGGAAGCCACAGGAGCACTGCTGTTCTTGGGGTTTCAGTTGGGACCCCCTGATGCCCAAACAGCTACATGAATGAATGAAACCTTCTCTCTTCTCCCTAGATCGTAGTGGTGGGGCAAGATCTCGTTGGATTAACCAGCTGCATCGGAGCTCAGCCTACATGTCCCGTATCGTGGCTCCTGCTTCTTACGTGACCACTAACAGCCCTTTCTCAGCTGTCTTTAGTAGCATCAGACCAAGAAGAATGGTAATGTGTCCATTCTACAAACACTTCTTATATGTCCATTGTGTAAAAAGCATTGCTAGGCACTGGGGCTACCACACACACAGACACACACACACATACACACACACACACACACACACAGCAACAGCCCATGCCCTCAGAGAACTTCCATTTTACTGAAGCCTTAGCTACTTCCTGGGTTCTGGAAACCATAGAGGCTCCAAGTACAATAATGTCATAGTTATTTCTAACATCTGGGACTGGACACCTGTAGGATTAGGTGGGGTCCTTTCTTCCTATGGCACTAGACAGCCTCTAGGCTTCTATAAGGGAAACCCACTGAGCCAATCAGTGCCTCATTGGCCCTGGACACAGAGTAGATATGCCTCTGACAGCCCAGTGAGGAGAAGGGCACTGGCCCAAAGCACCAATCTGTGGTTCATAGGTTCATTGATTTAGAGCTCAAAAGGATTGGAGAGTTCATTCTAGAAAGGAGTGATTTGCAACAGGGCTCCTGTGGTATGGTAGTCAACATTATGGCCTGTCATTTCTGAAATGATACCATTTTGTCTCAGTGATCCATACTAAAAGGCCCCAGCATTAAAGTAAATGGCAATTTAGAAAGTAGAGGAAGAGTTGGAGGAAATTCAAGAGGAGGGTGCCCTAGAAAAAAATGTCCCCATGGTAACTGGAACAGATCAAGTCCTAAGCGATTGTTTGTGTAGCATCATGATTTTGGACCATGCTCTTGTTAATGCCCAACTGTGAACCTGTACCCCAAAAAGCCTACCGATACCAACTTGTCTCCTCCCTCAGGGTCTTTATGAGACAAAATTGACCTAAGAAACCCTGGGTTATTGATGAATTCTGCCCTATGTTGGGCATCATCCAAGTCTGTTGTGTTCCTTGACCCATAGCCCCTTGGAATGGTCTGTCAAATGGTCTACCACCAAGTAGATTGTTGAGCAGAGATGAGAGGGGAGAGGGGTCGCTTTGAGGTTGACCTCTTTTTTTTTTTGTAGGCAATTGGGGTTAAGTGACTTGCCCAGGGTCACACAGCTAGTAAGTGTCAAGTGTTTGGTCTGAGGCCGGATTTGAACTCAGGTCCTCCTGACTTCAGGGCTGGTGCTCTATCCACTGAGCCACCTCGCTGCCCTGGGGTTGGCCCCTTGCACAGACTTCTAGGTACAGTTAATTTGTGACTGACAGGGAGTCGGCATTTCGGTCTGAATCTGTATCCATATTTGCTCTGTGGAGTATGCTCATTTGTTCACTAGTGGCATTGTGCCTTTCATTCCCTCAAGAAAGAGTTTATTCAGGGCTTCTGATGTGTTGGGACCCTCTGCTGGGTACTAGGGAAATCTAAATGAGTCAGAGATAATGCTCCACCCTCATGGACTCTGATGTATTTGACCAGCTTGGGCAGATTACTTGGGAACCAGTGCTGACTGTGCTGCTTCAGAAGCTAGTTGGGAGAAAATAGTAGAGTGGGGCTGAAGGAGGCCAGAAAGCATGGAAGAACTTGCTAGGGAAACATGGGTACAGTGGATAGAGCGCTGGGCCTGGAGTCAGGAAGCTCTGAGTTCAAATCTGGCCTCAGACGCTTACTAGCTTTGTCACCCCGGGCAAGTCACTTAACCTCTGTTTGCTTCAGTTTCTTCATCTGTAAAATGGGGATAATAACAGCACTGACCTCCCAGGGTTGTTGTGAAGATTCAATGAGGTAATAATTGTAATGCTCAATGCAGTGCCTGGCATATAGTAAGCTCTATATACACTTTAGCTGTTATTATTATTATTATTATTATTATCATTACTCCTCAAACAAAGTAGAAGGGGAAATAATAGGGCAGAGAGCAAGGAGCCCCTGTGCAGGCAGGTCCTCCCCCTTACCGCTGGCAGCCACCGGGGCACTCGCCTTTCTCACAGGGTTGGGCATCCCTAACTCTTCCCTTCTTCCTTGCTCCTCATATTCACTTGGTTGCCAGGTCTTGCCTTCTGCAACTCCACAACCGCTGAGGTATGTTTCATTTTCTTCGTGTAGCAATAGCAGTATCAAGAAACATCTGTATGCAGCTGCCACCTTCACTCGGGCCCTGGACTATTGCTGGAGCCTCCTAATTGGTCTTGTTGCCTCTGCAAGTTGTCCTTCCCACAGACACCCGAATCTGCCCAGGGCACACATCGTTCTGCTCTGAAATCTTCAGCTGCTCTCTCTGGCCTCTAGGCCCAAACATGAACTTCTTAGTTTGGCTTTCAAGGCCCTCCACAGTCTGGCTCCAATTGATTTTTCCAACCTTATTTCACAAACTGTTCTCTTCTGTACTCTATATTCTCTTGAAATTGGACTCAACTGGGGGTGTGTGCATACCCTTGTAATATAGCCCTCATGAAAGGGCCTAAGACTCAACCCACCAACAACTCCCTTATGTGTCGATTCAGACAATGGGAGAAACAATAGTCAGCCAGCTGATAAGCATTTGTTAATCTGTGCCAGGCATTGTGCGAAGCAAAACTAAGGCAAAAATAGGGGCCCTTCCCTCAAGGAGTAAACATTCCATTGGGGAAGACAGCATGCAAATGATGATGTATGTACTCTATATATTCAGGTTAAAGAGGGAGGTAATGTCAGAGCGACAGCCCTAGCAATGCAGGGTGGAGGTGGGTGGGAAAGCCTGCTTTCCCACCATGCTCTTGTTCTGGGAAGAAGGGTGGGTGGAGATCACTAAAACATGGCATCTTGCTCATTCCCTAAGTTTCTCTGGGCCCTAGATCTCTCCAGTAAGCAAATCCCTGAAGGATCAAGCCTGTGGTGAGGACACCCCCATGGTAGCTGAAGGCATGGTGAATCTTGAAGAGGGGTAAGTGGAATGAATCCCTTGGCTCCAGACTCAACACTCACAACTCACAAAGATGAACTTTCACTTCCTGACACTGGGGCTGCAAGGCGAGGTGGGTCAAGAACCTTGATGTTGACCATCTTGAGTTGGCACATGCTCTTTTGAGAATGGTGCACCTGCTTTACTGGGCAGTGAGCAGAGTTACATAGGAAACTCTAATCATAGTTGCTACCTTCAGGGAGTTTACCCATGAGCAAGAGAGACAGCCCAACTGGTTGTATGCACACAAGAAAAGCATATGGGGGGGGCAGCTAGGTGGCGCAGTGGATAGAGCACCAGCCCTGGAGTCAGGAGGACCTGAGTTCAAATCTGGCCTCAGACACTAGCTGTGTGACCCTGGGCAAGTCACTTAACCCCAATTGCCTCACAAAAATAAAAGAAAGGCATATGAACACATTCAACATTCAACATTCAACAAGACTAGTCCGATTCTGTTGGGGTGCACCCTTAGACAAAGTCCTTCTTTCTCCAGGACTTAGTTTCTCCATGTGCCCTGAGCCAATCCCCACGGTCTTGAATTGCCTGGATTGGGAGAGGCGCTACCTATCTATGGGAGCTGTGGCTGCTTGGAAGGTTTCAGCTAGTGTTTTTCAATGAACACTCCATCTCCATAATTCCATTCGCAAATACCTGAAGAGTTATTTTTTTATTTTATTTTTTTCCTGCTATCACGAAGGCAATGAGGAATTCTTGGTATGCTCCTGCTGCCCCCTGGATTTTGAGAGTCTTTGTTTTTACTCTCACTGCCACTGAGGTTGGCGGGGCTCAGGCGTCGGAGTTTGGAGGCCAAACTTCCGAGCGTGGCTCACTGTGACCCCAAACTGAATGCCAGTGAGTGTTTTTAATTCAGCAAGCATGTAATGAGCCTCTGCTTCGGACAGCACAAAGTACAAACTCGAGGAGATACACGTACTATCTGTCTTCAAAGAGCTTTCAGTTTAATGGGGGGGGGGGGACATGACCTAGCCCCCTTCTACCTTTCCAGTCTTCTTGTACCTTATTCCCCACTCTGTACTCTTCAGTCCAGTGCCATTGGCCTCCTGGGTGTTCCATGAACAAGACGCTCCGTCCCTCTGCCCTGGGTATTTTATCTGGCTGGAATGTTCTCCCTGGAATCTTTTAAGTACCAGCTAAACTCCCACCTCCTACAGGAAACCTTCCCAACCCCTCTTAATTCCAGTGCCTTCCCTCTGTTCATTTTTTCCTATTCATCTTGTACATAGTGGTTTGCTTGTTGTCTCTCCCATTAGATTACACTCTCTTTGAGGGCAGGGATTGCCTTTTGTCTCTTTTTGTTTCCCCCAGCCCTTAGCACAGTGTTTGGCACGTAGTAGGGGCTTAATAAACGTTGATTGATTGATGGCACATTCAAAAAGATAATGAGTTTCAAAAAAGATAGTACAAAATAGTATTTGGAGATAGTATATGGCTGGGTGGATAAAGCTCTGGACTTGGAGTCAGGAAGACTTGGGTTCAAAAAATGCCTCTGATGATGACTTGCTGTGTGACCATGGGGAAGTGACCACCTCTCTGAGCCTAAAATGTGAATAAGAGTTTAAATAATACCTGCCTCAATGGGTTGTTGTGAGACCAGTGAGATAATGTATGTAAAAGAGTTTGAAAAATGTAAAGTAACTCAATGAACATTTATTAAGTGCTTACTGTATACCAGGCACTGTGCTAAGCGGTTTCAGTTATTATTGTAAGTGCCGGCCTGAGGTGTAAGAAAAGTCTGATGTGAAGTTTGAGAGGGCAGAGGTCATTACCAGCTGGAGGGATTGGAGTTGGGTAGGGATTCAACAGCCAGGGAATGGGGTGGGTGAGAAAGGAAAACCCACGAGCAAAGGAAAAAGATGCCAAAACGATAAAACCCTCGGCCTCCGGTGTCTCTGCTTGTATGCATAAAGTGGGTATCACTGACAAGGCAGACTGGAAACCGCCATGCAGGGCCACATTTGATTCCTTCAGCATGATGGAGGCCTGGTGGTCTGGGGGGACCTCATTCATAAAGAAAAGTGTGTCTGCAGTGGCAGTTACATCTGGAGGCCTATCTGTGGAAATCACTGTATGTATGTGTATCTGGATGGATGCATGTCTATATGTGTAGCAATAATGCCACTCTCTCTCTCCATACATGTGTATATGTATAGACACGTGTGGAGAGACAGAGTGGCATTGGAGATATACATAGACACATACATACATAGGTATGGGGGAGATACAGTGGCATTGTATGCATACGCATGCATGCATGCATATACACATACATATATAAGGAGATAGACTCATTGTATACATACATACATACATATATATATATATATACACACAGAAAAATAGATATGGAAGAGATAGGGTGGCATTGTCTATGTATAGGTATTGTTGTTTAGTCATTTCAGTCATGTCTGACTCTTTGTGACCCCATTTGGGATTTTCTTGGCAAAGATACTGGGATAGTTTGCCATTTCCTTCTCCAGCTCATTTTACAGATGAGGAAATTGAGGCAAACAGGGTGAAGTGACTTACATAGGGTCACACAACTAGGAAATGTCTGAGGTCAGATTTGAACTCAGGAAAATGAGACTTCCTGACTCAGACAGAGCATTCTATCCACTGTACCACCTAGCTGCCCTGTGTATAGATTATTTATACATACATACATACATGCATACATATACATACACATAAAATAGATACGGAGAGAAAGGTTATCATTGTATATATAATATATACATATACATACACACATAGGGAAGATAGACTGACATTATACACACATATGTACATGAAAATAGAGATAGAGGAGTAGAGTGCATTGTATATACACATATACATAAAAATCGATAATGAGGAAGATGGACATGCATACTTACCATGTATTCATAAATATTCACACATAGAGAAGATAGACTGGCATTGTATATGTATACACACATATATATATTTATACAGATATACAGACAAAAGATATGAAGGAGATAGAGTGGCATTGTATAAATACATATACATATATACACATGTGTGTATATATACAATAGACACGGGGGGAGATAGAGTGGCATTGTGTACACACATATATTTATACACACACATACATACATACATGCACATGTATGAGGAGAAAGAGTGGCACTGTGGTTATATGCAGACATACATACATATGTATGATATGGGGATATAAAGTGGCACACACACATAGACACAAATATATATGAAGGAGATGGATTGTTAGTGTGTGTATGTGTGTATACACAGACAGAGACACACATATATACAGAAACAGGTGCTGGGAGGATAGAGTGGTATTATATATACACATGTAAATAAGTGTAGGGGAGATGGACTGTAGTATATATATATATATACACATACACACATATACATATATATGTATACACACATATAGGGAAGATAGAGTGACATCGTGTATACACATATATGAGGAAAATAGACCTTCATTGTGTATATATGCACATATATACACACATATACATACACACATAAGAAAGATAGAATGGTGTTACATACACATATAAGAGGGAGATAGTGTCATTGTACACATACATACACACATAGCCACATGCAGTTATACACACATACGGGGGAATTGGACTCCTGTTGTCTAGACATACACATACACATTTGGGGAGGATAGAGTGGCATTGTATATATACACACACACACACACACATACATACATACATACATATATACATACATACATGTGGTGAGATAGAATGGCATTATGTACATGCACATGCATAATACTTATATAAGAGAGATAGAGTGGCATTGTATATATGTTTACATTTACATGGGGAAATAGTCACTGTATATACACATACATATGTATACATACATATGGTGAAGATAGAGTAGTATATAAACAAATATATGTATACATATCTATACTTGCATATATATACACATATATGTTTGAGTGAGAGTGTCATTGCATATATACATACACACTGATTCTGTACATACATGTGTACATACATACATAGGAGATGGAGTGGCTTGTATACACATATGTATGTATGGGAGATAGAGTGGTACCACGTGTGTCTAAAGGGGAAAAAAGTGGCATGTAAGTATGTATATCTGGAAGAGATAGAATGGCATTGTGTGTGCATATTTATATATATATATATATATATACACACACACACACACACATATAAATGGGGCAATATGCAGTGAGATATATCTATATCTATATCTATATCTATATATATATATTTTTATATACTACAGTTCCAGTCGCTCCCTCCTTCCTCCCCACCCTAGCCCCACACAAAAGCCTCCCTGCTCTACCTCCCATTGGTGTTTGGGCGGGACACTGGGGCTCAGGCCCTTTTCCGAGGCTGTGCGTCAGTGGTGCTGAGAGGGCTCATTCTGTGTCTCATCAGCTCTCACTGCTTGCCCATGAGTAGACTGAGATCTAGGTTCTGTCTAGAGTGGGCCTGGTGAGGTAGGAGTTTCTGATTTGCTGAAATCATAGAACCCCCCCTTTATTACATAGTCACTGTTCTAATCAGAATTAACCCAGAGCCAGGTTGGGGGAACCTTGGGAATTCATCTAGGCTATACCCCATCTCCGGACAGGCTTGCTTGAAACTGTTTCAGCTGCGTCTACCTGAAGCCAGACAGTTGCTCCCCTGTGCGGCTCGCTCTTCAGCTGAGGCCCCATTCCGAAGGAGAAGGTAGCTGGTGCTTGCTTCAAGATTCTCCAAGGGCAGTGACTTGTGTGTTTCAGCTGTCCTTCGTTCCCTGAGGCTGGGAATGAGGAAGACGTCCCCTCTCCATCCCTGAGTCAGGACAGGATGGTTTCACTCTTGTGCTTGTCCCCTAGGTGATCTGCCGCATGCTTGGAATTTAGATTTGTGGAGCCAAGGGTTAACGGAGTGTTCCCTCTGATCCGTGGCTATGTATGCTGCAGTCAGGTAGGAATTGTTGATGATGTGGTGGTGGATAGACTAGGGGGGATGCAAGTCAGGTGATCAGGCTCTAACCCATATCATCTTTTCCCCTATGACCCTGTAATCTCTCCGATGTTCAGTTTCATCATTTGTAAAATGGGGGGGGGGAAGAGAGTGAATCAGCATTCACATAGCATCTACTATGTGCGGGGCACAGTGCAGAAGTGCTTTACAAATATTATCTCATTTGGTGTCTACCTCACTGAACTGAGGAGCTCAAATGAGAGTCTTTGGGAAAACGCTTTTTAAGAACGGCAGCGCTGCATACGACGTAAGGCCTTAGAATTCTCCTGGCCTCCAATGGGTTTTCTTAATCTCCACTCCTGTTCTGGTGCCCACACTGGGAGGTTTCCCTTCTACCCTTCTTAGTCATTCCCTAAGTCTGGTCCGTAGGCTTTACTGTGCTATTGTCTTCTTATCCCTGAGCTTTGTTTTTCCCACCACAAAGCCCAGCTGTGCCAAACCCAGCATTCCTAGAAGTTGGCCCCAGCTGGGCCTGATCCTGCCTCTGAGGAGCCTGGAGCGGCAACACTGAGTCTGGTAGGATCGTGGTCAGTAGAGAGACCTCTGCTGCCCACACCTCACTGGCACGGCCTTGGCATCTGCTGCTGCCGGGGGGAGAGAGAGAAAGTTTCCCTTGGACCCCTGGAAAAATAACTTCAGTTTGTGTATGTGTGTGTGGGTGTGTGTATCCCTCTGTGTGTGTGTTCGTGTTCTACAGGCTAGAGAAAAGAGGGAGTTCTTCCCTGCCTTTACACAGGGAGACAGGATCTATTCCCTGCACAGTGAATTCTAGACAATGTGGTTCCTGGCACTCTTGCTCTGCCACCATCTTCAGAAGATCTTCTAGCCCCTTGGGCGGCCCAGGTGACCTGGGCCCTTGTTTCTTTCTGGTTAACACTCAGCACACATATATGTGTGTTTTGTGTGTGTGCATGGCTGTGGCCCGAGTCCACCATTCTATTTGAGCTCGGCCATGTGACCATGTGCTCTCCAGCCCAGCAGGGATCTGGAACCAAGGGGGGCGGGGTTCCGTAACTGTAGCATCCTCTGCCACCTTCCTGTTACCTCTTGACCAGCTAAGATCCCTCCTCAGCGGTGGGAATTCAGGAAGATGGAGAGGAGAAACAAAAGAAAGTTTTCCTTTAAGCCCCGAGTAGGCTCAGAGATTGCTTATAGAACCATGACCAGTCAGGGCCCCTTATGATGTCCCTAACAAGCTTTCTGGTCGTTAACAGCAACAGCTCCTGGCCTTTGAGCCCAGCTCCCCTGCAGTCAGCCATTTCTCATTGGGTTGGTTTCCTTGTCTACACTGATGACTACAGAATTTAAAGGGGCAGAGAAGCCCCCTTTGAGACTTCTTACCTCACCTCCTAATTGTGGCTGGATGGAAAGGGGCCCATGGCCCCATTTTGTGTGCTACTTCCTATCTCTGTGCTGGTCTGTTCCCTTACCTAGCCTCCAGTATCCTGCGGGCTAGGTGGGGGGCCAGAGAGACCCTGCTAGGATGGCGGGCTCTGCTTTCTTGACAGGAGGTGCATTGAGTGTTCCTTTGGCAGGGGGGAGGGGCGCACAACGGGGCAAGAATTATCAAGTTGTCGAGGCTGCACTGGTCCCCCCAGTAAACCCTTCTTCCTGCCCTCTGGGCTCCTGGACCTGCTTAAGAAATACTCAGCCTAGAAACCCTGGCTTAATCAGAGCCCCGGCCCTCAAGTAAAGAGGATGAGTGTTAATACCAAGTCTATCAGATCCTATACAGTGGGACGCAATGCGTGGTGTCCCCTCAGTACAGCTACCTTGGTGCCAAGGAGGCTCCCATTGTTCACTCCCCCGGGGGCACTGATTTACCCAATGTCTTTGTATGTGGGGGGGAAGCAGGCAATCTTTGTCCCCTAAAGGTGACCAATCAAAATCCGTTCAGAGGCAAGGGTGGTGCCTCAGATGGGTGAGCACACTGGAGCATTTAGTTTCAGGTCCCAAATGTTGGGACAGAAGCAGTGGGGAAGATTTTCACATGTCCCCCTCCTACACTGGCTTTGAAGGTGACAGTCCAGGCATAGTTGGGGCATCATCAGAATCACTGTGTGGCCTCTCGAGGGGATACTATTCATTTACATGGAAAACTTCGTATGTTTTGGTTAAAGGAACATGAACTTTTAAGTTATACCATGTAATGACAATGATAGTAGTAGTAACCACAGTACCTTATACTTTTCCAGATGTTTTCCCACGCATTCATTCATCATTTGCTACTCCTTCACACCCTAGGGGGAATAATAATGATATGCCCCTAGACATGCCCATATGGTGTGTTTCAAAAGTCTTAGTGAAGTCTTAAGCTTTAATAGCTATTATATAGAATAGACACTATATAGAATACAGAAAATTTATAATAAATAGTATTATATATTAAGATAAATGTTTATTATCTTAATATAGGAGAAACATTGTTTATTCTATATTGAGATAATAAACATTTGTTTATCATATTGAGATAGACATTTATTATCTTAAAATAGAATAAACATTATTTCTCCTATGTTAAGATAATAAACATGATAATTTAGTACATTAAGATAAATATAACAATATAAGAATTACTGTAATAGAATAAATATATATTATACACAGTTATTAAAGCTTAAGACTTCACTAAGATTTTTGGAACACCTTGTATATTATGATTGCCAGTGGCTCTGTGCACAGCAGAGACTGGAGCCCTGCTCACACCCCCATTCACCACGAGCTTTGCATTTTGGTTTTTAGTAAACTCTCACCTTGGCTGGTGTCACTCTAGAAAGCTCTGTTCAAGGTTCCCCAGTTTCTCTGCTCTCTTCTGATACCTTCCTTTCTGACCCTATGCAGACAGCTTAAGGTTTTTTCATTTCCCTGAGGCCTTTTGGGACACACTTGCGTAGCAAGCAAGCCCTTCCTCCCTAGGGTGGTCACAGTTAAGGTGTCAATGGGGCCTTGTTCAGTAGGCTTTCAGAGGCAGCATCTTTGCCAAGGGGGCTATAGAGCAACATTGGAAGTTCTGGGCCCTCTTGTTCAGGAAGAGTTGCCATGCCTACTTGCAACGAGGGGTTTCCTTCTAGACTTCCAGCAATGAAAGGCCCAACGGGCCCCACGGATCATTCCATGCCCTGTATCAATCAGCACAATGCTGAAAGTTACTCGCCATGCCTGAGGGCCTCTGTCCTAGGTACTGAGCTAGGCCCCTGGAAGCAAACCAATCACCCTTTCAGTCCCCTTATCCCCCCTGGCTGGGGCCATTGTTTGCATGTTCTGGGTGTGATCTCAGTAATGAGTAGGCTCCCCACAGCAACCCAAGTGAGGACTGGCTGAAATCTAAGCACAGAAGCAAATAGCTTTTATGATAAGTGGAGTCTCTCTGTTGATGAACACATACTGATTAAGGTAGCCTGTCCTGAGTTGGTGAATTGTTTCTGGGCTGCAGAATTGGGCCCCTTTCTCCGCTGCCACCTATCTTGGTGCAACTAGGCTTGGCCTGCATCTACACAGAGTTACTTTGACTCCAAGAAAGTAGTTACTCCATCTTGGCTTTTTGTCATTTTCTCAGCTCTCATGAAGGATTGGCCGGTGAAGATGTGAGTGGGATAGAGATCGCTGCCTTGAAAGAGCAGGTGAGATACTGGGGGAAATCAAGCTACTAGGGCCCCAGGTTGGACCTGCTGTCTCATGTTGGATTCATGGCCTCAGGAAGGGGAGCCTGGAGCCCCTCATGAGACAGACAGGGCACTATAGGCTCTGAAAGCTCAGGGATCTCAGGGTTCACCTAAGCTATCCTTCTATACAATGCATAATTCTCCCTCAAGCATCAGAAGACCTGTCCACATGAAGATTTCCAAAGATGGGGAACTTGCCATCTCAAGAGGCAGCCTGCTCTATTGTTGGACAGTTCTAATTTTTAGGAGTTCTTCTTATTTAACTGAAATCTGCTTCCCATAGCTCCCTGAGAGGGAAGCTGAGCCCATTCAGCATAAGATAAAAAAAGGCAATGCCTGTCTTTTTATCCCTGGGACTTGCTTTGGTATAGTAGGAAGAATACTAGGTTTGGAGTCAGAGGCCCTGAGGTGGAAACTTAATTCCACTGCCTATTACTACCTAGATGGCCATGGGCAAGTGACTTCTCCTCTCTGGGTCTCAGTTTCCCCATTTATAAAGTGAGGGGGTTGGACCAGATCAGTGATGTCCAACTCAAATAGAAACTGGGGTGCTAATCACTCCGTAAGGATCCCTGTGGGCCACACATTGACTTCATTTGAAAATGTCATGTTATCTCTGTTTTATGGTGTTTTGATTGATTTTGTTAAATATTTCCCAATGACATTTGAATCTGGTCCAGCTGTACTTGGGAGTGACACTTCTGGACTAAATGATAGCTAAGGGCCCTTCCAGCTCCAAAATTCCTGTTGATAGGTATTTAGGGAGCTACTAGTAATGGCAAAAAGTGGGGGTGGGGAGAAAGCAGGCCTCACCATCGATCAGCTTGGCTGGCTTAGGGAACTTGGCTCAGTTTCCTCGAGTTTCTTATAGTCTCTGGCATGACTGGGAAGGCTAGTGTTGGGTCTTGAAGAAGTAGGAGCGCCCCAGGAAGATCTTGGGGGATGGGCAGACAAAGGGGAGCTGCTTTCTGTTGGCATCTGATGAAACCCTGATGTGCACTTTTCCTTTTGTGTGCCCGAGTATCTCCTTTCAGCTTCCCCTGTGCCACAGTGATCCGGTTATTGATTTTTTTAGCCTTTGGCTTTGGAGAACTTGGGCTTTCTTCACAGCCCCATTCATAGCCTGTGACTGCCCCATGGGAACCTTACACCTCTTCCCTAAGCCTTCTCCCTCCCAGTTGGCAGCCCCCAGCCTCTGGTCTGGCTGATCCCACTGTGTGGGTCTCTCTCTTTTTCTCTCTGTCTCTGTCTCTCTTTGCAGCTGCAAAAGATCTCTGGGAGACTGGAGGCTCTGGAGGCACATTGCAGAGGCTGGCGTAAGAAGGAGTTCCTGCTCTATTCTGCCCTGGTCTCAGTCTGTGTTATTAACACATGGCTGTGGATGAGAAGATAATATGTTTGGCCTTCTGAACACCTAGAGGGCATGGATGGTGGGAGACCTTTGGGGAAGTGTTCTTGTAAACTGTATTAGCAAATATTGATCGAACCTTTGGCCCTCTAGAGGTTCCATGGAAAAGGCCATCTTTAAAATAATTTCATGGAGTAAGTCGTACTGGTTTTATTGTGGGCAGCGATGGCATTCAAGGGGTCAAAGGGGCCACGATCCCTTGTCCTGTTGGGGTGGGGAGTAGGGGAATGGAGGAAGACCATCCTGATGCCTGGAACACCAAAGGGACCTAAGCAAACGTTGCCTCTCAGTAGATTGCTTCAGTGGGTCCTCCGGCTGCCCTTTTGACTAATTTTTCAGGGGGGTGAATTTGGCATATCATCCCCTTCTGATCAGGAGGGGGCTTTGGATCAACACAGCAGGAAGAGCGATTCATTGCAGCTTTAGGCTGCTAGACCTGAAGGGACTGGTGCATTGGGGTCATGTGCCTTCTGTTGGATCATCCCAACAGTCACCCTGACTCCAGGGCAGTACCAAGCAGCCAGATTAGGACCATCAGCCTTGGGAGAGCTGGCTTCTCCCTTGGCCTAGACTTCTCCACCCTGCCCTTAGGATTTGGGTTGTTGCTGCTTACACATCTGTCCACAAACCTGACCCTTCTTCCCTCTTCTCCTGAGAAAGCTGCTTGGAGTATGTGTGCTTGTGCGCATGTGCGTGTGTGTGTGTGTGTGTGTGTGTGTGTGTGTGTGTGTGTATGTGTGTGTTTACAGGAAGAGTCTAGTTGAAAATATGTTGTGAAACATCAGTGCACCTTGGGGAACAATTTAGCTGAGAACCAAACCCAGGCAAACAAACAGGTGCTTCATGGCCCTAGAGAAAGTCCTCCTGTGACTTGGGTCAGCTGCAGGCAGAGACTTGGTCTCGGATCCAGGCTGCTAACTGGTTAGCCTTTCCTATAGCCTCTTCCTTATCCTTTAAGGTCTTCCAGGGACCCAATATCCTGGGCCATGTCATTCGCTTCCTGTCCCCAGGGCTCACCCCAAGGGGACCAGATGGAGTATGGGAGGAAACACAAAATTATAGACTACCTTCTTCCCTCCCTGCAAAATCAGTGGACTGCCTCATTGGGTTTCTACTGAGGAGAGCCAGAGATACTGCTGTTCCTCCTGGGTCAGACAGAGGAGGAGGAAGAAGCTGGCTCCTCAGAAATGTTGTCTGGCAGTGAGTGTGGGCCAACCAAGGTCCCACACACTAGGACAACAAAAGAACTGAGTTCTTGCCTACTTCCCAAGGGGCTGGGGCTTCAGTGCCTCAGGAAGGAAGTGCAGAAACTCCCAGCCAGTTGTTTTTCATCCCAACTCTGCCACTTTTCTCCTGGGGCTGACCTTAGATGGTTCCTCTACCCTCTCAGTGCAGTGACTCAGTTTCCTCAGCACAAATTACATGCTGTTGGCTTGGTTAATAAGAGTAACTCAGATAATAGGTAAGTCCTTTAGGATAGACCTTATTCTAAAGTCCTCTGAAATAATTGCCCCCTCTCAAAAGTTTCTCATAAACAATCTTTCCTCTCTTGCCCCAACCCCCACAGATTGCCCCAGAAGCAAAGGCTAGGAAATGGTGCTGAAACAAAGCTGTGTAGGGTTAAGTGTGGTCAGGGGCTAAGCCATTACTTCTAGAGCTTCCCTTCTGCTTTCATTAGCTCCGGAGAAAAGAAGAAACCACGTCTAGTAGGCCCACCGTTTTCCTTGTCCCCTGGCAGGGGTGGTGTTCTTGAGGTGTAGCCAGCTGTAGGCTGTGGGCCACTCAAACATTTTCAGTCTCCTCTGCCTGGTTTGAGCCTCCCTGCCCATCTTCACCAAGAAGAATGAAGTGGATATGCTCAATACCTTTTCCCCCACCCCCCTTCTCTGGGCCTGCAAGCAGTAGGGGGCAAAACAGAGGCAGAGGTCCTAGTTACCTCGGGGGGAGTAGGCCCCTTTGCGTAGGCTAGTGTACCTCCCCTGCCTTTGATTCCCCAGACAAAAAGCTATGCATGATTAGCTCCTGTGAAGTATACCTACTGAGAGCTCCCAGGAGGGCGGGAGGGGCCTCACATGCAGCCAGCCAGCAGAGAGCAGAAAGCTATCTGTCTGCCTGTTTGCCCTCCTGACTCCAAGTGGGTCAGGAAGCTCGCCTGGCATCCTGTGCCACCCCAGTGTCTGACAACTGTCCCTTGGGGGGCCTCAGGCTGTGCCCAGTCCCTGGTGGCTTCACACAGCGGTGTGCAGACCCCAAATCTTCCTGCTGAGCTCCTGAGCCATTCCCATGATGAGTTCCTCCAGGCTGTTCCCCAACATTACCATTCTGATGGGCAGCAGGAAAGCCGGGGAGACTTTCTGATACAGAGAGGTGGGTGTCCAAGGCCGGGGATCAGGCCAGGGTGCCTGGAGTGAGGGTTTTACATCAAGGACCACCTCAGTGCTGCGCCTCAGAACAAAGATCTTTCCCGCCTTGGGGCTACTTGAATACTGATCAGGGCTACAAAATTCTGCATTCCCAAGGTTATCTGACTGCTAAGGAAGAGGTAAGCTTCTTGGGGGCTTGGGGATTTGGGTCTGCTTCAGGAAATCCATGGGTCATAATATGTCAGAGCAAGAAAGGGCCATAGAACCATGGAATGTCAACTCTAGAGGGGACTTCACTAGTCATCCAGTCCAACGCCTTCTTTTTTTCCATTTGGGGATGTTGTGCCCTGGGTAGAAGGCACAAGGTGAGAGGTACCTGGTGGTTCAGGCACCTGACCATGTCCTGATAACAGTGCCTGGGAGAGCCTTCATTAGCCAGGGCTAACAAACCCAGGTAACTGTCCCCCAGAGCCCGAGATGCTGAGGGATGGACCTATTAATTTGCTCAAGAGGATTGAATGTGGTGCCAAGCTAAGATTGGCTTATTGACCAGGAGCAGGCAGGGGGTGGGGGTCAGTGGGAAACCTTCTCATTCAAAGGAAACAGAGAAAGTTTGGAGGCTTCTATATTGAAAAGGCTTCTACAGGGTGGTCAGGTCTATCTTGTTCTTAAGTATCCACACATCCATGTTTTGATGAGCACTTCCTTCAGAGAGAGGATTTGCTCTATGAAAGCAGTGTCTCTGGAAGGAACCTCATGGAATCATGCTGTGTGTATTTAGTATGCCCTTAACCAGTATCTACCATCTCTCTCCATAGCCCACCTTGTATCAGTTGTCTCTGGGTTCAAGTGTGCCCTTAACTTAAGAGAAATGGCCTTAAGGGGAGATCAGGACCTACAAGTCTTTTAGCATATGACAAGTCATTTCCAGGGTAGGGCGTTTCTCTGAGGCATTCCCAGGTGGTATGAGATCGACAGCATTGTTCCTTTGGGAAATTGAACTGTGTTCAGTTGAGGGGAGGCTTTTTTCCCCCTGCTGCCTCTTTCTACAAGCTGCTTCTGATATCCCAGGCCCTGGGACACCACACCATTCAAGACTTTCTTGGTTCAATTTGCTGACTCCAAGTACCACCTGAAGCAAATGGATGTAAAGTACTGGGGACATGCTCTGAATGTGGTTGAGGATGACCTCATGTACCCACTCACAGGATCCCATGAATTCTCTCCCTGTGCCCACCAAGGCCAGTATTCCCATTCAATGAGACACAATATGGTGCCATGGAAAGAATCCCAAATTGAAGTCACAGTGCCTCAATTTGACTTGACTCTCTGGCTTGCTGTGTGAGCCTCTGCTAGTCCCTTCTCATTTTTCTAATCTTTCAAATGAAAAGGGGAGTGTTGGGTTAGTCTAGGGGTTCTTAACCTGGGGTCTATGACTTTGTATTTCAAGTATTTTGATAACTATTTCAGTATAGTTTTTTCTTTTGAAATCTTATGCATTCCATTTTATGAATTGAAAGTCACAGTTCAGAGAAGGGATCCAGAGGCTTCTCCAGACAGTGGTTGAGGAATCCTTTTGTTGTTTAGTCATTTTCAGTCATGTCTGAGAGATCCTGGAGTGGTTTGCCATTTCCTTCTCCAGCTCATTTTACAGATGAGGAAACTGAGGCAAACAAGGGTAAATGACTTGCCTAGGATCACACAGCTAGAAAGGGTTTGAGGTCGGATTTGAACTCAGGTCTTGCTGACTCCAGGCCCAGCACTCTATCCACTGTGCCACCTAGTTGCCATGCCAAGGGATTTAGGACACAATGAAATCTGAGAACTCCTGGCACCAAAAGATCTCTGAGGTCTCTTCAAAATGTTAATCCCATGATCCTAGGCCAAACCTATGCCAAATCAAGTGTGTGTGTGTATGTGTTTGAGAGACAGAGACAAAAACAGAGAGACACAGAGAGAAACAGAGATCCAGAGACAAGACCTCTTTCCTCTTTGACTCTGCTCTATTTTGGCCACAGCTGTAAGCCTCCCCCAAGATTCCATCCATGCTTTAGTTTGGACAGTCTAGTCATAATTTGCTGTCCTCTCTGCTTTTCCCCATGCTTCCTTTGCTAGTTTACCATTCTAAGCAGACAGTTCGTGTTTGTTGTGCCCACAGAAGAGTCGTAGGATCCAGGCACCAGGCACTGCCCAGTGATAGGGTCCTCGATTGAAGTATTTCAGAGACATTTACATTCTAGTGCTTGGGATATGATTAGTCAATTAGTGTGATTAGTTCAATTGAATATATAATTTGCCAGGGTGTAACTGAACCTCCTCTACTCTGGGTTTGGTGTGGGATTCAGCATTCAGTGCTTTTTTTTTTTCCTCCCACCAAGAAGACCCCCTCCCCTCCAGGCTCACTCACAGACACTCCCTCACCACAATATGATAATGAATCAATGTGGAGAAACAACATGGTATGGTTAAAAACGACAAAAAAGGTGGTGTTCGTGAAGTCATTTGCCCTGGGTTTAAAAGTCCCAGCTCTGCACAGGGTGACCTCAATGACCTCCAGGGCTCAGTTCCGCTTCAGTAAATTGTGTGTGTTTGTGGGGGGGGGGCTCAACTTGATAATCCCGA